TAGTGCCAGTTATTAAGGACAAAGCCAGTAAAGTGGGAAGCCTAGATAACTATAGGCCCATAGCATTAGCCAGCATATTGTCAAAAGTCCTAGAGAGAATTCTGCTGGACAGATTAGATGACTTTATTAACTCAACAGATAACCAGTTTGGCTTTAAGGCTAAACATGGCACTGACTTGTGTATTTCCTTAAAGGAAATTGTCAACAAATATAGAGGTAATAACTAGGGCCGGGACTTTAACGCGTTAATTAAGATTAATTAATTGCACAAAAATTAATGCGTTAAAAAAATTAACGCATTTTAATCGCACTTATTTTTGCACCGCGGAACGTTTCTCACTGGATGAGTTTCAGGCGTACCGATTATACTGGAGCACCAACTAACGTTCATGACTTCAGACAACAACAAACCACAGTGAACAACAGTGGGAAATTTTGTTTTAAAAAACGGACGGATGGAAGCGTCGATAAGAGCACGGTTGTGTGCAAATTATGCAAAAAGGAATTCGCATATCACCGCAGCACATCAAGCCTCAAGTATCACCTCAATGCAAAACATATAGCAGCTAGCGTGGAAGCTAGCGTGGACGTTAGCCTCTTTTATCGCGTTCACACCAAAAAGAGCCGGTACTAAAATTAGTTCATGAGAACCTTTTTACCCCCACGAAAGTCCCTGCTAGAGAGCAGAGAGCTGCTAGAGAGCAGGGACTTCGTGCGGCTCTCTTGTGAGAAAAGAGCTATATTTCTGATTGGCTGGGCGGATTGCAAACCACGCCCCGTAAAACTCCCAAAAAGTTTTGTGAAGCCGCCATTTTATTATCCTCGCATTAGCATTATTAGCATTAGCATTATCCCAGCGCAGAAACGCAGAGAGACTAACTTATGGCAACACAAAATAAAACATGGGAGCGGTGGAGATGAGGAGGTGTCGGCGTTCTGGCGATTTACTCGGAAGGCTTCAGTAGAAGCTGCTGGGAGTCCCAGCAGCTTCTACTGAAGCCTTCCCCAACTCCGGGGACTTCCGGCCGGGGACTTTGGGCGGCAGTATACGCCGTGAAGTGGTTTGCGGCCTGCCAGTAAACCCAAAGCAGAAGAAGAAGAAGTGACGTCAGCGGCTTCATTTGCCTAATCCTCCCCCAGGTTCAAAGAGTTCTCATGAACTAAGTTCTCATGAACCTTTGTGGGAAAAGTACTGCGGTGTGAATGCGCCTAATGGTATACTAAAATCCATGTGAAAAAAATTGCTTCTCACTGTTCTCAGGTCAAATATGTATGTGATTAAAAATGCGATTAATTTCGATTAATTAATTACAAAGCCTCTAATTAATTAGATTAATTTTTTTAATCGAGTCCCGGCCCTAGTAATAACTCATCAGTTCTTATGTGTTTCATTGATGCTTCTAAAGCCTTTGATTGTGTTAATCATAGGAAGTCATTTGTTAAACTGAGTCAAAGAGGGGTGCCCAAATACATTGTGAGAATTCTGGTCTACTCGTATGGCCACCAGACTATGCAAATGGAGAATAGGGTCTCAGCCCCATTTGGGGTTAGCAATGGTGTCAGACAAGGTGGAATTATGTCCCCAGTTCTTTTTAACCTTTATATTGATGATCTGTCCAAGCGACTGAAAGCCTGTAATACTGGATGCATGATTGGTAGTACTCTAGTGAACCATATTATGTATGCAGATGATCTTGTGGGCTGAGTCCATCTAGCACTGGTCTTCAGCAGCTTCTTGCTGTTTGTTCTGTGTATGGTGTGGAACATGACATCAAATACAACGCCAGTAAGAGTGCTGTCATGATCTTTAGAACCAAAGAAGATAAATGTCTAACATTTCCTGATTTTAAATTGTCTGATATTAATCTTAGTGTCTGTAATAAGTTAAAATATCTTGGACACTTTATTACAGAACAAATGACAGATGATGAAAATATTTATAGGCAATGCCGCATGATGTATGCACAAGCAAACATTCTCCTACGTAAGTTTAGTGCATGTACAGATGGAGTGAAGATGTCTCTGTTCAGATACGGCACATCTGTGGTCAAACTACAGAAAAGCAAGTTTACGGAAACTTCAAGTAGCTTATAATGATGCCATGAGAATATTGCTGAAGAGACCTCGATGGTCTAGTGCAAGTGAAATGTTTGTGGCTGCAGGAGTCAATACTCTACAAGCTGTTTTAAGAAATCTTATGTATAAATGTATTTGCCGGCTTAATGACTGATAATGAAATCCTGTTGGCCTTATCGAACATAAGGTATAGTACTACACGCTACCAATCGCAGCTGTGGAGACATTGGTATAGTTGTCTCTTTGTAGGACACTGATTTAAATTATTCTTAAACTATGAATTATTTTTATGCTGTGTATGTAATTTATTATATGTAATGCCTTGTCTTTTATCTGGACCCTGAGTCTGTAATAAAGTTTTCAATCAATCAATCATCGCTCAGCTTGATGACTAATTCAAGTTACTTTTTGAAGTGGTCTGTAAAGCATCTTTAGACCATTCGCAAGGCTAGCTAACTGAAGCTGATACCGTTAGAAGAGAAGGGAAGACAAGGCATTTGGTCCAATCTCTCTGACATGTTTGATTACTATTAAACTGTTTGCCAGCCCTTCAATTCCTCCACAAAATTGCCCGGTGTGTGAAAATCCAATTAAACAGTCAGTGGGGAGCGCCAAAATCAGTCGGGCACATCTCTTGGCAGCAACAAAGTACTAGCCTGCCGCCATCAGGGCCTGAGCGCCCAGGTCCTGACTGAATGACTTGGACTGGGGAGATTTAACTAATTACAACTATTTCCCGTGCAATCAAATACAAAAGAAAGGTTAGTGAATTAAGGTGGAGAGGTGGGCCTGAGGGGTGACAAGGTGAACTGAGCCTTCAAAGGTAGGCGCCATGTCCTTCTTCTCTGAAATGGAGATGCTTAGAAAGTATTGTCTTATGGATAAATTAAAGTCTCCTCTGTAACCTTTATCCCTTTTACCCAAAGTTCTCACAAAAAAAGAGCGGCTTAGATTATCCAAGCATGGCCAATCCACCCCCACCGTCATTCTGTCCTCAGAGACCACACAGTGGGAACGGTTCCTACCCACAAATCCAAACTACCCACCACAAATCACTATTAAAGTTTGGTCCGACTGAGTAAACTTAAAACTATAAGACCACATGATTACAGTGTGCCAAGCTAATTTATTAGAACATTTCATTTGAGAATTTATTTTTCAGAGCCTTTTATGTAATTGGGTGTATGGTCTGTAAAAGATGAAAGTGTGTGCAAAGCACCACTAAGTAGATCAATCTTAAAACCAAAGCTTGTGAAAGTTATCAGAGAGAAGCATCAATAAAAGTGGTTTTCTAATCTGGTTCTACTGATCTGATGAAGCAGTGATGCTTGGTTTCATTATACGACATTTATGACTCCTAAAAACTCCCCGTACATTACATTACATTGCATTTAGCTGACGCTTTTATCCAAAGCGACTTACAATAAGTACATTCGACCAGGAAGACACAACCTTGAAGAAAACAGAATCATATAAGTACATCAGGTTTCATAGAGCCAAAATATTTCAAGTGCAAAGTAAGTACCGCACAGGAACTTTAATATAAATGCTGAGACTATACAATGTAAAAAATGAATGAAACACTGGAGGTAGTTGACAACATGACACCATTTCCTCTTCCTGTCACAACTTCCTGTCAAACAAATATTACCTGGACCAGACTAGGTCAAACATCACACAAAGAAATCAGTGCCTATGGTTTGCAAAGCTGTCACATTGACATGACATCACATGATGAAGAAGATATAAGCTGTGTATCTATCTGTTTGAAAAGCTCCATTAATACTGGAATGAATGCTCACTGGAGAGTTTGTGTAAACTCGCTACTTCTATTCTCGTTCATCAAGACAACCACACACCACACATTCATATGATTTTGTGTGTGTGTGTCCATTTCAGGAGGTGCCAAATGTGTGATCAGCAGTGCAAAGCGAGCAAGTCTCTTAATGAAAAAGAATTAGCCAGGAAGTTGATCGCCTTGTCAAAATGGCAGACAGACAGACTTCCTTCCGTGTGATAGCACAGGGAGAGGTCAGAGCACATGGGTCATACCGGATGTAAAAAGGCTTTCACAGAAAGTTAGTGACCAGTGACGTATCATCAAAGCAGAGAACAGAGCCTATGACCTCTCTGGTCAAGGACATAGACAAGAGAATGAGGATTCATTATTTTTAATTGGACAACCAGCCCCAGATATGACTTCTTTTTTTTTTATCCCAGAGGAAAATCACAAAATGAAAGACGGCATGTTCTGAGTAAAATACCCCCTGAGACATCATGGGATGATGCTTGGTTTTGCTCTTCTGACAATGACTGACATTGACAGTCAAAGAGGGAGGGAGGACAAATATTCAACACTTTTCTTTAAGTACTTAAAGGAGCAGGAACTAAATACTCCTCAACTCAACCATCCCCTTCGCCAGAGAGCTACAATGGCTCTCACGTAACATTAAAAGCTAGTGTTTAGTGTGTACGATCTAGAATTCTGCTTAAACACAGCAGTAGAGCATGTCAGTCTCCCTGGAAAAGTAAATAAAACTCTTTATATATAGATATGAAGGGCTCATTCTAAGCTTACAAAAACCATCTAAGAAAATCACCACTGAACTCAAGCAGAGGATGGACTATTGAGGCAGCAGCATGGCTCAGTATTGAGAAAACACCCTTTATACACAGCTGCAGGTCCCATAAGAACAGGGACAAACAAACTACTACTAATTGAAGTGATTTACTTAATTTATTATACATATTAAGAAGATTCACCCAAATCCTTGACATTTGGATCTAGTGGTTTAATTGTCAAAATTAAGTTTTTGTGTCACCACATTCTAGCAGAGAATGCATAATGACATTTGCAAACTTTATGTACTTATGAACTTTTCCTGTCATTAGAAATTAAAAGATATTGCTTGGATGTTAAATACCTTGAAGATTCAGGCTCTGTGACGTCTCCTCTGAAAGTGGCATTGAGCTGCTTCTCTCTGGTTAGCAGGTCATCAATAAGGTTCTGCCTCCTATCAGCTTCTGGCTGCATTCTGTTGAAGCCATGTTAAGGTCATGCATAAGGTCATATCACTCTGAGGGTAAGGATGCACTTTATACTTTTATTTGAGTCTGTTTGTAGTTAAAGGATAAACAGATATAACCTTTCGACTGCTTTTGTAGTAAGGGCATTCCTTTTCAAAGCACTCTAATTCCCTCTACAGGAGGATAAATGCTACTGCAAGCAAAGAAAACCCTCCAGCCCAAAATGTATTCTCAATCTCATGACTTCCTCTGCTTGGAACATTATCCGAAGAAAGGATACAAGCGACGAGCTGATGATGCTCGCAACAAACCCTCTTTGAGCTGGGAAATATTCTGTTTGAGCTTCTGCAGAGACGCCCGTAGTGTCATGTTGATCTGAAAAGCCAAACAATATTAGCAACTGACTACTAGAGACACTTGACGATGTTAGGAGAAATGTAACATGCCACTTTCTTTTGTGAAGGTAGCACCTTACCTTTGCAGGGTTCCCCCCTGTTCTCTGTTGCCTGTTTCGTTCATGAAGGTTTTCTGCTACTTCCTGTGCCAGGCGACACGTGGCATCATAATTCTGTAACCTATAGATCAATTAATGGAATAGAGATTTCATGTTAATTGATCTGTAAACTGACACGTGACAGTGGCTGGCCACAAATAAACTAAGGAACAACATAGCAAGACCCCCTAAGTGGTTATTATGATAGTGAACAGAACAAAGTAAATCACTGGTATGTGAATTGTATGTTGTTTTGTTTTGTATTTTGTTTGTAATGTATCCCAATGTTGTGCAACCTACAATTAAGTATTTAAAGAATATATTAAAATGCAGTAAAGACTTGCTAGTCTGGCTATGTAGTTCATACTGTTTAGTGTTCAGGTAAGGTTGCCAGAAGCTTAGTGTAACTATTTGGTCGTGTTTGATGCTGGACTTAAATGTTATTTAGCTAAATTACCTGACTGACAGTCTTAACAGTTTGATCTGCACAATAATAATTGTATACAGCACTAATGTGTTGTACTGTTACGTGTTTGTGTGATTCAAGTTCAGTACAGTTGGGAACACTCGAGAGAATAAGACAAAGCTTCAGTTGCATTCAATCATGTGACATGTTTAGCATTTCCTTTTCCTCTTTCGATTCTGCTATCGTTACTCAATCTGAATGGTAAATATAAGTATGTTACACACAAAAGCATGCAAATCCATTACCTGATCCAGTACCGCCATTCAAAAAATGTCAATCCATAAAGTGAGCATTCTTATATGGCTTGCAAGTCATAATATTTACAAGAGCTAGCTAATGCTGCTACTTTAGCTAGCAGGATGAGGACAGAGTAGCTCACTTCTGAGCGTCAGTCACGTAATGTTGGGAAGTTAGGTTGATTTGAGAATGTGAACACATTACTTACCACGGATCCTGAGACATTATGATCAGAGTAAGGTAAAAAGATTTAAGTCCAGTTAGTTTGAAGCATCAGACAGTAATCACCAGCGAAATGTCTCTTGTTTGGGTGTGACGTCACAACGGCACCTTGCTAGGGACATTTGAGTCGGGGGAAAAACAAAATAAAGGATATTGACATTTAGATTTTAACACATACATATTAAGTTACCAATCTTAAGTATTATTTACTTGAATATGAATTAATTTTGCTCATGTTGGTTGATGTTTAAATTTACATTGACTAAACTTAAGTATCCTACATTACACATTAAACCTTTTTCTTGCAGTTTAAAGGAATGCTCCACTCATTAGATAATTAATCAAAACTTCAGTATTTAGTGAAACATTATGTTTAAACCATACCCTGAAGAAATCAGCGATATTCCCCGGTAAATAATGATTTTATAGTTATTTTTTATCAAAACCTGTATATTCCGTCAGGCCGTTGCCATTTTTCCATTTTCAGTAGTCACGTGATGGTCGTGACGTCATCCATGCGTTCACTTTGTAAACACCATATACAGTCTATGGTAAACACACGAAAACATGGCGAAGTTTTGAGCAATATGAAGAGATTGGAAGGGGGAATTCAGCCATACAGGTTCGAGCCTACTTAGTACTACTTAGTAGATACAATGATTTTGATTACTAGATATGTATGCATGTAGTACCACCCTTGCTAGCGATTCCCTCTCTAGTTTAGCATACTCAGCCTCGTTGTCCCTGGCCCTAGAACCACGATTTTATGGGGCCGAAAAAACTGGGGGGAAATACCCACTAGCCGGTGTTACCGTTTAACTGGTTACACCGGGGAACTCGTTACGTTACGTTAACGGTAGGAATGGGGCGTGTACTTTGAGGAGCCATTGTCGAATAACCAGGAAATACACATTTCGATCGCTTCTTTTGTTGTTTACATTGATCTTTTGGTATATTTGGCTCCATAGGAACACTTTGATGCACATTCAGTACCAGTCTGTGAGGTTGTGGTTGCGATGCCGATATCCGGACGCGGACAGCGAGGACTACACAATGACAATGAGGTGACTGGGGATGTCTGTTCAAAACATTGCAAACGTGAATAAATCATTTCAAATATGTATTTGTCTCCGACTTTCATTTGTACATTGTTGTTAATGTGATATGTAGCTTTGATAGCTGTCCATACCTCCAGATAGCCTAAAAGTAAGACACAAGTTGTTTACTCACAGCCCGAATGCAGCATCGAGATCCGTGGCCAGCTGTGATCCTCTCCGATTAAGTTGTGACAGGACTTCTTTAGCTATTCTCCAGCGAGCAAGGTTTTTATTAAATACCTCCATCCCTCATCACAACAAGACTCTACACTGTGCAGAAAAAAAACAACATAAATGAAAATAACCTTGCTAGATAGCTTAGAATAAAACAAACAAACTATCTTCCATGGCTGATACTGATGTCACAGTAACGGCTAAACCACAGACAAGTCCAGCGGGGGGGGGGGCACAAGTTGAATCCATATAATGAAATTGTTATTTTATATATATGTATATACATATATATATGCTAGATATATTTATATTTATTTATATCCTACATTGTCTAGGCTATATAAACCGGCGGAAGTGTCACAACTTTCTTGGTTTGTGATTATAGAGAGAGAGAGAGATAGCGACAGAGAGATAGATAGCTATAGAGACATAGATAGAGATACTGTAGAGATAGACATAGAGAAAGATCGGCTGTGTGTGTGTGTGTGTGTGTGTGTGTGTGTGTGTGTGTGTGTGTGTGTGTGTGTGTGTGTGTGTGTGTGTGTGTGTGTGTGTGTGTGTGTGTGTGTGTGTGTGTGAATAGCTGTAGGGTTAACCAAGAGGGGATGGATTCAGGAGTTGTTAAACAACTGATGGATTTTATGATCCACGATATTTATGCTGATGGCTTAAAAAAAGAAAATTGTTGACAATTATCCTTTATTATCTTGTATGAATATATCTGGTATATTGCTCATTTTCCATAAAAGAAAAACATTTATTTGAGTTTGATGCATACAAATACTGTAGATGATGATTGTTGAAAATGCACTTTTACCATAAATTGCCAGCACGACCAGTTGGTTGAGGCTCATAAAAACAAAACTGTGTAGACAGTAAAAAAATAAGTAGTTTGTGTCCCATTTGATAAAAAAATGCAAACAAATACTTTTTCCATATATTTGTTTTCTTGGTCTGCCAATTAAAGGGTTAAGCCTATATGTTTAAGCAATTATGTCTGCCTTCCCCGTCTTGCACCATTAGGACCCACTGATATAAAATGCTTAACTGCCTAAGTTGCAACTATGCACTTTTTGGTGGGCTAAGCGCAAGCTTCACATATTTTTGGCTACATTTAAAGTGCCAAATGTAAGTTTAGATATTATGCAATGCAACGTTTTTCTTGGCCTACATCAGTGTTATAGAAGGAAAGACAACAGTGATAGTTATGTTTCAGAATAACATTTATTGGAAATTGTTGGGAAAATATTACTTTTCACCAGTTTGAGCTTCAACCTCAGGATCCATGTGTCTGTGATCCTCTCCAGAATGGAAGTAGTCGTCACATACAGAGCATCAACTAGTTCCTGAACAGTGTCCTTCACATGCTGATATCCAAGAGAGGGAGTTACACAGTCACAAGATGGAGGAATAGAAAGCAGTATTCAATGTTTACTTCAGATTAGCTCCACGTCAGAAATGAGCATGCTTGATGTCAAGCTATCCAGCAAGGTTATTTTCATTTATGTTGTTTTTTTTCTGCACAGTGTAGAGTCTTGTTGTGATGAGAGGGATGGAGGTATTTAATAAAAACCTTGCTCGCTGGAGAATAGCTAAAGAAGTCCTGTCACAAGTTAATCGGAGAGGATCACAGCTGGCCACGGATCTCGATGCTGCATTCGGGCTGTGAGTAAACAACTTGTGTCTTACTTTTAGGCTGTCTGGAGGCATGGACAGCTATCAAAGCTACTAAACATCATATTAACAACGATGTACAAATGAAAGTCAGAGACAAATACATATTTGAAATGATTTATTCACGTTTGCAATGTTTTGAACAGACATCCCCAGTCACCTCATTGTCATTTTGTAGTCCTCGCTGTAGCTACGCGTCCGGATATCGGCATCGCAACCACAACCTCACACACTGGTACTGAATGTGCATCAAAGTGTTCCTATGGAGCCAAATATACCAAAAGATCAATGTAAACAACAAAAGAAGCGATCGAAATGTGTATTTCCTACACGCCCCATTCCTACCGTTAACGTAACGTAACGAGTTCCCCGGTGTAACCAGTTAAACGGTAACACCGGTACTACGCTATATGGAAAGGCCACCAAAAACTGGCCTGGCCTGGACGATAAAGGACGTTTAAACGGGGATACCCGCTGCAATGGAAATGCGCCATAACATACCTTATTCTTACTCCGAGCACTACTTCTGGTCCTCCGTCGCTTCACACTTGCAGAGGGCGATTTCTCAACTGGCCGAACTGGTGTCCTGGTCGGTGATGACACCAGAAAGACCGATGGTACTGCATCTCCATTAAGTAATGGTTGTTCAATAAATCCCATGTTATGTTTTATCATACTCATAGTAGTCGTCCGGAAACTTGAAATGTTCGCTGCATACATGCGCCTGTGGATCTTTCGGTTCGGGCCGGTGTTCCGGATTGACTGGTTCCCCGATCAACTGGTTGACAGATGTGGAGGCGTGGCCTCGACTGAAATACACATTTCGATCGCTTCTTCTGTCGTTTACATACATCTTTTGGTATAGTTGGCTGGATAGGAACACTTTGATGCACATTCAGTACCAGTGTGTGAGGTTGTGCTTACGATGGCAATATCCGGACGCGAACAGCGAGGACTACAAAAAGAAAAACGAGTTGATCGGGGATGTCTGTTCAAAACATTGCGAGCTCCAATAAATCATTTAAATCAGCTATTGTTGCCAGACTTATTTCTGAATATCGTTCTTAATGTGATACCAAGTCCATCTGAGACCTGTGTACACCTTCAGACAGCCTCCAAGTGAAGCACATGTTCTTTACTCACAGTTTGAAAGCAGCGTGGAGAAGTCCTTCAGCTGTGTTAAACTGTGATCGCTCGAATAAATCCTTAAAACCAGCTATTGTTGCCCGATTTATCACTGAATATCGTTCCTAATGTGATACCAAGTCCATCTGAGACATGTGTACACCTTCAGACAGCCTCCCAGTGAAGCATACGTTGTTTACTCAGAGTTTGAAAGCAGCGTGGAGAAGTCTTCAGCTGTGTTAAACTGTGTTCCTCTCAGGTAAACTGTGATCCACCCATGGGAAAATGGGATCCGCCCAGATGAAACTGTGTTACGACTTCTGTGGCTATCTACCAGCGATCATGTTTAATATGAAAGACACACACATCTACATGCCTTATAAAAACGGCATTCTGCAGCACTCATCCAGATAACATGTGACTGTTAACTCGTTTTGCAAAGATAGCAGCAGAAATGTCATTGCTGCATGTGCAGGGATATTAGACTTTAAAATGCTGATGGGTCATTAATGTTGGTCTCGGCAAACAATATTAGGAATCCTCTATTCAAACCACATAATATTCAGTGTCCATCGACATGAAAATAACAAAAAAGTTCATGCTGGACTCAAACCCGAGTTCCAACAGCAAAAGTCACTCCAGCCCTGGGCGTTATGAGTGCGCCACGGATCAACACGACGTATCGAACCACCACACTATAATATTTTTAGATTAACCTTAACACACTTATATGTAAAACTAACACTTATCACAACATAATGTGGGCTCGCAGGCTGATAAACTAGGATATCTGATCTCGGTGGGTCTTAATGAGGCTTGATACAGACCTCAGTCAGTAGGCTATAGCCTACTATATTATAATATGTATATTATATGGCTTAAAGTGTACATTCGCTCACATTATAAATGATGGTCGGGTTGCATTTTTCTGTAACTTTTTAACAAGGTTAATCTAAAATATTATAGTGTGGTGGTTCGATACGTCGTGGTGATCTGTGGCGCACTCATGACGCCCAGGGCTGGAGTGACTTTTGCTGTTGGGACTCGGGTTTGAGTCCAGCATGAACTTTTTTGTTATTTTCATGTCGATGGACACTGAATATTATGTGGTTTGAATAGAGGATTCCTAATATTGTTTGCCGAGACCAACATTAATGACCCATCAGCATTTTAAAGTCTAATATCCCTGCACATGCAGCAATGACATTTCTGCTGCTATCTTTGCAAAACGAGTTAACAGTCACATTTGATCTGGATGAGTGCTGCAGAATACTGTTTTTATAAGGGATGTAGATGTGTGTGTCTTTCATATTAAACATGATCGCTGGTAGATAGCCACAGAAGTCGTAACACAGTTTCATCTGGGCGGATCCCATTTTCCCATGGGCGAATCACAGTTTACCTGAGAGGAACAGTTTAACACAGCTGAAGACTTCTCCACGCTGCTTTCAAACTCTGAGTAAACAACGTACGCTTCACTGGGAGGCTGTCTGAAGGTGTACACATGTCTCAGATGGACTTGGTATCACATTAGGAACGATATTCAGTGATAAATCGGGCAACAATAGCTGGTTTTAAGCAGTGCTTGAATTGGAATGAAAAAGGTGCCAGTACTCTAAAATCAGCAACTTTTTCAAGTCAATTTTATATATACAGCCCACAAACAAGAATTTGGCTACTATAATGCTGGTGGGTTTGTCTCTTTACTACTGTATATTTTAGAAAGGTTCACTGTACTTAACATTTTTTATGATAGGCAGCGGATATGGCTAAAGCTCAGTAAGGTCAATATTAACTGAAAATATAGCAATCAAAGTCTAGATCTTCTGCTGAAGACACATGAAGCAGAGACCTTTCAGGTGAGAGCCCCTCTGGTGGTGTTCAACATTAATGACAAGGAAACAAAGCTCTGGTCAGAAGCATTTTTTATAAAAAGCTTTAACAAAATTAAGTATTTCTGTACATTTTGAATGCAATCTAACTTTCCAACTCAGAAAACGAAAAACGAAAAAGTGCCAAAAGTCTTCTCACATGGCTGAGCTGCTTTGCAATATACTTCACCACTGAAGAATACAAATATGTATAAAGTAAACTATGATGCAATCTAACTTTCCAACTCAGAAAAATGATAAAGAGCATGAACAAAGAACATGTAAAAACAAATGCAAAATTTGCACAATCTAAAATGAGAAACTGTAACTGCAAGTAACAAAGTCTGAGCCATGGTAAAGAGTTACATTGAACACCAAGCTGATCAGATAACTCCCTGGTTGGTCTGAAGTCCTTCTATCTCCAGGATCTGTACAAATCGGCACATTATGCCAAAAGTCTTCTCACTGGGTGAGCTGCTTTGCAATATACTTCACATTGTTAGAAAAGGCTCCAGAAGGCCTTGGGGACATCAGTATCAGGGGCTGGAGCTGGACAGGCTCTTTCATCAGCACTTCTCCTTCCCTTTGCCAGCCAGGACCTCACATACTGTTCCGGATTGAACTGTCCTAGTGATGGTCCATTACATTTAATGAAAACCAGGCTGGACAGTCGGCTGACAGAGAGAGCATTCCTTTTTGCAGTAAGGATATCGTTCATGCAGCTGAATGCCCGCTCACACTCACTAGTGGAGACAGCGATGGTTCGGACTGCTTTCAGTAGAGGCTCCATGGCAGCAGGTGTACGGGATGCCCTGGTTTCCTTGTATTTGCGAAAGCCCTGAACAGTCTCTCTTCTGTCCACTTTCAGCACTTCGCACAAACGTAGCACCTCTACGTCCCCATACTGTACGTCTAACTCCTCTTCAGGCCAACTTCCAGGATGGATAACTTTCATGTCCTGGATTAGCTGATTGTCCCGGGCCTCCCGGCCATGTAATGGGATTTCTCTTGTGCTGACATGAGAGGAGGTTGTGGAAGTCATTCTGTGTCTCAGATTCTCTACCATACTGCGGAAAAACTGACCTGCATGAATCTGTACAAGCCTGCCATTCTCACGCAGGGCAACACCCTTGAAGGACTTCTCAGCTAGAGCTGTATGAACTGTAGTCATGTGTGGGCCAGGCATGGTGACCATGGATTCAAAAACTCGTATTTCTCGAGTTAAGAGCCTATCTGCTGTAGGCAGTGTCATCTCTCTTTTTTGGAGTTGCCGAGAGAGGTCGCTGAGCTCTGTGAGCGCATCGTACATCAGTCCCAGATTGCTGACAAACGTTGCAGATGTGAGCACATCATCCAGGCCCTTGTACTTTGCTCTGTCTCTGGAATCCCTGCTCGTGTCGTTTGCAGCATTTGTGAAGTGATCATGAAGCACTCGGTAGTTTTCCCAGACTGCTCTGACGCTCCTTTCACTTGAAGCCACCCAGCGGATGGACAAAACACACCCTATCACCAGGAGACGCCGTCCGACTGCTTGCGCACACTGCGCTAACTGCCTCTGATTTTTGGGGGAGGCATGGAACAAGGAATAGAGTTTGTCAAAAAAGATCTGGAAATGATTGAGCCCTGAGACCTCCTTGACCACATCCCCAACTGCCAGCTCTAGACGATGATTGGAGCAGTGCCACACAAACAGGCTTGGGAATTTACTACACAACTGGGTAGCAACGCCTGTTCTCTTCCCTAGCATGACTGAAGCCCCATCACATGCAAAAGAAACGAAACACTGACCTAAAAAGTCCTCGTTAAAATCTCTTCCAAGACACTCCATTAACGCCTTTGTGATGTCATCAGCCGTTGTTCCATCCAACTCGATCAGCTCCCAAAAAAAACGTTTCGGGCTCAGCATCAGCTAATGCTGAGCGTAGACACACAACAAGCACCGTTTTACCACTAATAGTGGTAGATTAATCGACCAAAACACAGAGTTTTCTTTGGTTTTCTGTAATGTCTTTTGCCATTTTTTTCTTCAGCTCATGAGCTATGTGGTCGATGATTTCGCCACAGGTTTTATTGGAGTGCAAAACCCTGCCCACGTTCAGCCCATTCAGTTTCTGTACATTCAAATCAATTGGCATGTCTGTGAATGGCCGGCTATGTTTGCCAATTTTATATGCCGTTCGAAAAACTCTGATAGTGGTGTCTAATTCAGATGTATGCATAGACTGCACTTGATGTTGAATAGTTTCACGTGAAGCAGATGTAAGGATGTCAGCAGCTTTTACATGGGCTTGTGATTCTTTATGTTCTTTGATTTTTTTTCTCAGGCTAGCTTGTTGTTTGCCCTTGTCAACACCGAAATGAGACACTGCACACTCACCCCATTCAGTTGACAGTTTCAGTCCTTGTCCAGTGTGTATTCCCAAAGATTTGACATCTCTGCATATCCGACATCCTAGCTTCTTATCTTTAAGAAGGAGCCATGCATTGGTCTTGCAAAAATATTGCACCTGGTCCGTTGTCCAGCAGTCAGGTGCATCGCTTTGCCCGGTGTTGATGGTGGCAGGTGCGCCAGCAGCAGCTAACGTTAGAGGCTCTGGAGGAGGCGGCGGAGCTAGTGCTAATGCTAATGCACTAGAACTTGGAGCAGGAGGATCAACCAAAGAAAGCTCCCCATCAGACACAATTTCCAACACAGGCACAGCATTCTCTGTATTTGAAGTTTCTTCCGGCGACAACCGCTGTCTTTTTGCACTTTTATTAATCCACGCTAACATTTTAGAAATGCTAATTTGTGACGTGACTTGCTTTCCTTCTCTCGGGGGCGTGCCTGCTCTGTTCTATCACTCTACATAGCCACCCACTGGGTGGGAGTTGCACTGCATAAACACAATACACGTGCATCTAGGTATGTAAATTGTAAAGCATTAAAACATGGTTTTACTAACAGTTTTCAGTATGTTGTTACTTCGGCATTATTATTATTATTATTATTATTATTATTATTTTGAAACGTGTATTACTATTAAATCACGGTCAAATAGGTTAATTTTGACATAGTCGTTTCCACCACAGTATTTACATGGAGAAGATAAGCCCCGCCCCCTCTCCAGCACGTTCTGTTTGAATGACAGGAGTAAACAGCTGACAGCCGCTGTGAAACTCCAGCGGTTAGAGCGATGAGAATGTCCGTTCGGCACCTCATGACGCATCTACTGAGTACCGGGCGGCTGTATATATATATATGGATGTATAATAAGAACGGCGGGAGAGTGTTGAGTACTGGCACGGTGCATGAGTACCGGAGTACCGCCAGCATGCCGGTACTGAGCAAGAAGTGCCGGTACTCCATGGGTCAGAACCAGAAGTGCCGGTACTGCGTACCGGTGAGTACCGGCCCAATTCCAGCACTGGTTTTAAGGATTTATTCGAGCGGATCACAGCTTAACACAGCTGAAGACTTCTCCACGCTGCTTTCAAACTGTGAGTAAAGAACATGTGCTTCACTTGGAGGCTGTCTGAAGGTGTACACAGGTCTCAGATGGACTTGGTATCACATTAAGAACGATATTCAGAAATAAGTCTAGCAACAATAGCTGGTTTAATTGATTTATTGGAGCTCGCAATGTTTTGAACAGACATCCCCGATCAACTCGTTTTTCTTTTTGTAGTCCTCGCTGTTCGCGTTCGGATATTGCCATCGTAAGCACAACCTCACACACTGGTACTGAATGTGCATCAAAGTGTTCCTATCCAGCCAAATATACCAAAAGATTTATGTAAACGACAGAAGAAGCGATCGAAATGTGTATTTCAGTCGAGGCCACGCCTCCACATCTGTCAACCAGTTGATCGGGGAACCAGTCAATCCGGAACACCGGCCACATTTCGCTAGCCACTGCCTCCGAACGTACTTCCTACGCTTACCTTTTGGCAACAGATAGAACCGAGCATTCCGTGGATTGTTCCTATCAGAATTGTGGCAATGTTTCGCGATACAATGAGGCATATTTGAAGAGAGTAACTACAGTAAATAACATGAACATCAACGTGTCCTCGAAACCAAACGCATGGTTTACGTCACGTCCGGTAAAATGGCGCCGCCCACAGTGTTGATGTTATTTCGGTAATTAATCAGTTTAAAATCACTGATAATGTCATCGGATTAAAAAAAAAAAAAAGAGAGAGAGACTGGCAGAGACTGGTCTGTTTTATCGGATGATAAAAAAAAAAAAAATGAGTGTCATGAGCATACCATTCCTTTAAAAGAGAAAAAATAATAGCTTGAAAACAGTATCACCTGTAAGGCTATGAGTAGTAAACATGTAATGTGGACCATCTCTATGTAGACATACTCAACAGTGGTAATGTGATGATTGTTAACTATGATTATTTTAAACTTTAATGCAAAGTGTGTGTTCCTCTCAATGGGGGAGATGCATTTACTGCGTTTGGCAGTAAATCATTTGATGAATGGAAATTAAAAATCATGTAAATATATATTTTCTCTTTTTTCATATTTTTCAAATGTTTCACTTTGTTAAAATACTTTGAAAGGCATGACAGGAAGCAACACATCAGTAAGAATATCAAGGTGCATTTCTCACAGACCCATGGAATGTATAGTATTGAATGGTATGTGTTTAAACCTCTTGTTTTTACATTATGCCCAAAGTCCCAGTACAAGTTATGCCAGCCTTCATGGAAATTGAAGGAACAACAGCATGCATGCCTTCTCCACTCATGTGGCTAGAGGGTTTGTTATTCAAGTCCAGGACATGTGGAGCCCTCATGAGATAAGTACTAGTCTTGGTTTTATGTTTCATGACCAAACAGAAGTTGTGTTTGGATCAAAACACATATCTGTTGTGTAGAACAATAACCTTTAGAGTGCTTCTTGGAAAAGCTCATTTGGCATTTTGTTTCTACGTTTGAAGCCTTTTCAGAGAAAGACACATGATTACACTGTTATTTCTGATGACCTTTTTATGAATAATACATATTTAGTTTGGTTTCCAAACTTTCCATACCAAACTCAAGCTATGCAATATCAGTGAAAATATATTGTGGCAAGTGAGTGGCTCTAACATTTACTGATCAACTCATTATGTGAATTGCAGTGAGTAGTGTTATTTGAAGGATGCTTGGTCAAGTCATCATTTTATAAAGTGCCTGTATTGTCACCTGAACATTTAGATTATTTGTATCAGTGCTGATTATGGTGGTATTTCAAGTACGATAATTAACTTCTCAGAATGAGACACTGCATGTTGCCAGTAGTAAAACTGTTAATCACAAGATGTTTTCTGTTTCAACGACTGGAGTCACCACAAACAAACCATACCACTCACGTGACCACAGCCCATAGGCTTATAGCCCTCATCCTCAGAACGTGCAGCTAGTAACAGGAGGCAGTTAACCTTTATTTGGTGGAACAACACGACTTGAGATGATTGATGTGTCAAGAACGCCGGAGTTCTCCAATTGTGGAAACAGGAATTCTATCTCAATTCATACATCCTCTGACCAAGACCTGGGCTCTATGGCGGGAGGCAGAAGCAGGCAAAGGTCTCTCTCATGTGACAGTCTAGAGGAAAGTACAAACTATGGTGATCGGAAAAAGACAGAGGACACCTTTCGTAGACCTCGCTCCAGGTATGTTTTACTTTCAACTTGCAAATTGAAAAAAACGTTTTAATCCATATTAAGTGACTGATCAAACAACAGTCAGCAAAAGACACATTGACTGATAACAATGTGGATTTGTGTTTAACAGTGTAGCAACATTGGATAACAGACCATGCCCAGCACAAACAAAAGTTAAAAAGAGGTATATTTTCACTGAATGCATATTTGTATCAACTGCTCCACAGGTCTTTTTATGACACACCAGAGCCCGAGAAGTCCAATTATGATGGGGCACGCTCCCTACTTCACTATGAAGTGAGCAAGAAGGCAAAGACTAAACCAAACAAGCGCTCACCAATAAGAGAACTTAATGGTACAACTTATAATAGCATGTTTAATATTTCAAAACTCTATTTACATTGTTTATTTAAATACAAATCTTATCAATGTATGCATGCTTTTTTTAGGCAGTAAAGGCAATCTCAAGTCTGTGTCCATGATGACCATCTCTGAGTCGGACAAATGGGAAATTTGCTCCAGCTCGAGGATGAAGTACGGACAGTTTGTGGACTGGGAGAAGATTGACCCTGAAGCCGCAATAAGATACCAACGTATCCTGCAGAGTGATCACCAGCAGCTCAAAACTATGGCCCGAGAAGGATTTTGGGCCATGCCCCATACACTGAGGGCCAAGGCTTACTATCACATCATCCAAAGCATCAATTCAAGGTTAACATTATACAATATAATATTGAAAACATATATTTTTTGTAATAATGTGAAGCATATTTGAGGGAATTGAAAGTACTTTTGAAAAAAAAAGTGTGATTTTCTTTTATTTGAATATACTGTGCTAAATGATCTGAATATGCATTGATGTTATATCTGCAGTAGGACAGTCACTCCAGACAGAGAGGTCCACCATGAACTGACCAAGGAGCTCTTTGGAGAACATAACATCAGCACACATCCAGTCCCAGATTACATGGAGGCGGGAGATATACCCAGGTACTTTTGTGGGATAATATTGGTTTACATATCATAGACATGTTGCTTAAAACAAATGTGTTCCGACAACACATTTTCCGTATTTGTGACACAGAACATATTCCATTTTAATTATTCAAATTGACCAGCTGAACCTTGAAAGAACAGACCTGAATGATTGCTTTCATCTCATTTAAGCACATCAGATGATATTTGTTGCATTAATTCTGACTTACTTTATATTGGCCTTGAAAAATGTCTTGCCCGTTGAGAATGCAAAGTATGCAATGATGTGTTGATTGTTCTTCTCTTATCCAGATACTGTCTCAACAAAGCAGGACTGAACTCAGTTAAAAGGATCCTCCTTAGCCTTGGTAAATGTTTCCCAGACATGAATTTCTGCCCCATCCTGCCTGAAATGGTCTCCCTCCTCCTCCACTTCAGTGAGGATGAAGCCGAGTGTTTCCACAGTGTGTCCCGACTCATCTGCTACAACGACCCAAACAAACGTTATATCGACCAGACCTTCCTCACATATCGTGCTTCCTGCATGACCTTTGGAGACCTTGCTAACAGATGTTGCAGAGGCATCCGTAAGCTGATCGCCAGCTCTTACCAGAACCTCTTTGAGTTTTACTCCGACTGGATCATGTGGATATTCGCTGACCTACCATTCACTTATGCCATTAGAGTGCTTGATGTCTATCTATTGGAGGGCTACAAAGTCCTCTACAGGTTAGTTGCTGCTACATCTTAACATTAAATCTTTCAATCAAAGTCACTTTTCATAACATAACCACTACTTTTGAAACAATATGGTACAAGTTTTTTTCAAACATTCTTCATAGGGTGGCATTGGCTTTGCTCAGCCTCTACAAAGTATCTGTTTCATCTCGAGTGGCAGACGTGGAGGACTTCAGAACAGATATGAAAAGGTTTGTGGAGAGTGTAGCTCGCCACTGCACAGCCGAGAGGCTTCTGGAGATGGCCTTCATGATTCCGATGGCCACACGGAGAGAGCTAAATCTCCTGTTCAATGCCAATATGCACGCCCTCATGCAAAAAGGTGTCAGCATACACCAGAAGAGGTGGGTTAATGCAGAAATTGATATAGCACACATGTGAAAGGCATAAGATAAGGAATGCATTTCTAATATGCTCATTGTGTTTTTATATAACTTTTCATGAGGTGTATAAGTTAAAAATGCTGCTCATGTTTTTTCTTTTTCAACTTAAGATTCTCATAATAACTTTTTGTTGTGCTCCTAAAGGCATTCTGTTGAGATGGTGGACTTTAACAACTTCACCTCCAGTGTTGTGACAGTGGCTTCGATGAGAGTGGTGTGGGCCTGGATTCCTGAGCGCTTTGCCCTTTTCAGCCCCATCAGGCTGTTTAGTACCTCTGAACATGGAAGAAGCCTTGCTTCGTAAGTCATCTTTGTTCATTACTTTCACAACTAAAAAACTGGAAGACAAAGAACTAAGTAAATAGCTAGCAGTGTTTTTCGTATACGAAAGCATTCATTTCCCTGAGGAAGTTATCAGGGATTAAAAACTGCTACATATGTCAGAGCAGTGAAAAACACATTCTCAGGAACAGTTACATAACACAAAGGGACGTTGTGTTTTCACTATCAACATGTTTGTTTTGAGTGTAAAAGTCAAGTGACTCACGGTTCAGTGGTGTCAAACGCGTTGAAACTACTTTATATTTAAATGTTTAAATTTGGTAACACATGGTAAAACATAAAGGATGATGCTACGAAAAGAAGACATTGAAACATATTTAACTGTGAAAGTTATGATTTCGTCTTGCAGTTGACCATTCAGCTGTCCGTCATAATAATTACAAAGACAATGATTACACAACGCTTCTGATCCAGTGCAGGCTTTTGTTGTATATTGTCACACAAGCAATGTTTAGTCATCAGATACAATGTCTGGTTTCATATGTAGCAGTTTATAGGATATTTAAAAAAACACATGTTGTTTCTCTAATACAGATTATATTCACATGTGGAAGGTCACGAGCCAGCACTCTTGATCATCAAAACTGTGGATGAAGAGGTAACATTAGATAACATATTGAATATTGGTGTTCATTGGATAATGTTTGCTGATATGCTTTGTTTGACCTTAGATTTTTACCTTAAGAAATTCTCAAATTATAAACATTATTTATATATTCTGTATGTTTTTGAGTTATTAGTATTTGTCATTTCCCAGGTCTTTGGTGCCTTCCTGTCAACAGATTTGATAGAAAGAAAAAAGCATGACTCTGAGGGACTGACATATTTTGGGACTGGGGAGTGTTTCGTTTGTACGGTGAGTCATTTAAAAAAAAAAAAAATGAGACCTTGGTATCTCATCTAGGTTTGCTGTTAAATGCTTGAGGTCATTCAACTTTATTTAGAGAATGTTATCGTTCATCAAATATAACATTTGATCACTCCATTTTAGATTCGTACCAGCAAGGAGCGCTACCAGCAGGCCATGGTCAACATAATGACCAGAGGATCTTCCCATCAGCAGGTTCGAGACAGCAGCTGTGCCTCCTCTCGGATAAACAATAGTGGCTGCTCCCCAATCACCAAAGGCACCACAACTCTGACCTGTCCTGCTGGAACCCCCCAGGACCCCAGCTACCTGACCATCCCCTTTACCTCCCCATCAGAGGAACCCATGACTACCAAAGAGCCAAAGAGACCCAAAGAACAAGAAGCTTCTATGTTCATCGCAGGCACTGACAGTCAGCTCATAATCGGTATGCCAGAGTAACATATTGTTCAGTCTTTTTCATCAAAAGAAACGTCCAATAACAGTGTGTATGCAGTGCTCATGTGTTTGTTTTTATTTTAGGTGGTGATGGAGGTCATGCACTCTGCCTGCAGGAAGACCTCGAGGGTGGATATTCAGAGGCCTGTGACACATTCAAGAGCATCGCACTCTACAAGGGTCATTTCAAGATCCAGGCCCTCGAAGTGTGGGGCATCCAGAACTCTATTTCCTTTTCTCACAGTTTTCCTTCTGAGTAGAAAAAGGGAGGAGCTTGTATTACTTGGTAAACAACAAACCAGTTTTTCATGATGATTGTTCATTGGACTTATTAAATCTCACATATTTATGTTTGTGAATATACACATATTCACATATTGAGTGAGATTTTAATTGAGTTCTTGTCTACATGTCATGTTAATTTGTATATCATTATACTTTTTTACTGGGCACAATTTGCAATAAAGAATAAATGATATAAGTAACTAATGAATTCTGGTTTTACCTCAGTTTAGCTATTTTTTTTTTGAAAACCCCTACACTTGGGGTTACATGGTCTGCATTTTTTTTATTTTGCAGTTGATCTGCAAATTAAATGCACTTTTGAATATGTGATGATCAGTTCAGCTGTTTTTGTGTTATCAATGTCTTATAACATATCAAGATATGACCTGTTGTGAACATGATCGTTTTTACTGTGTAATGGGGTTACATTTGTTTAATACTGAAAACAAACATTTGTATTATCTGTTTGACTCTACTATTTGCTGAGACAATTGAGTGCCACAGTGACGCATCCTAAAACCCGGAAGTAAATCTATCGATTAGATTTACGATTCGAAAATTATAAAAGTAGGGTAGACATGTGGATATTATCTGACTGAACAAAACGTGATCCGTCTCTTAAATGTGTGTCAACCACAGACGTTATTCTGAGCTATTTTCCAAAATCCTATGGAGAAATGTAATTGCTTTTTTGTCGAAGGAACCGGAACCCCATGACCGGAACCCATGCGCAGCTTACATCCGGGTTTTAGGACGCGTCACTGTGACACTAGGCTTGTTTGAGACAAGCGAGACCTGCGCAGACCTGCGCAGTTGCGATCAACGTCTTGCTAGTGCGTTGCATGATGGTTACGGCCCGTCTACACTACAGGCGTCAAAAAATGCTTTCAACGCTTCGCCCATTCATTTGAATGGGGTGACGTAGGATATTTTCAAACTTCGCCGAACTGCATTGTGGGTAGCATGGCAAGGCGTTGCAAGCATCGCGAGCGTCTATCGGCGTCAAAAGTTGAACAATGTTCAACTTTTGAGGCTCGATGCTTGCTCGAAGCTGGCGTCAGCCAATCAAATCCCGTTTTTGCAATTCCCGCCAGTACAAGCGCTAGCCAATTAAACCGCGTGCAAGCTGGGAGAGCCAGACCGCAGTTCATTTCCTCATATTCCAAACGAGAAATTACGGTAGCAAATCACCCGGTTCTTTCCGACCAGAACTATTTACCGGGATACAAACCGGAGGAACCGTTACGGCCCGTCTACACTACAGGCGTCAAAAAAGCTTGAAGCTGGGCGTGTCTGAAGCTTGGCGATTTTTCGCGAGCAACGCGACCAACAACCAATCACATGAATCTCCCGCCCCCGACATACAAAGCAATAGCAATGTTAAAACGAAGTAAACTGGATATAAACTCCCCAAACAGGCGAAAACCTACCAGTTTCACCCACTGTCTCTGCCACCTCCCTCAATGCCTGGTTCCTCCGGTTTGTATCCCGGTAAATAGTTCTGGTCGTAAAGAACCGGGTGATTTGCTACCGTAATTTCTCGTTTGGAATATGAGGAAATGAACTGCGGTCTGGCTCTCCCAGCTTGCACGCGGTTTGATTGGCTAGCGCTTGTACTGGCGGGATTTGCATAAACGGGATTTGATTGGCTGACGCCAGCTTCGAGCAAGCATCGAGCCTCAAAAGTTGAACATTGTTCAACTTTTGACACCGATAGACGCTCGCGATGCTTGCAACGCCTTGCCATGCTACCCACAATGCAGTTCGGCGAAGTTTGAAAATATCCTACGTCACCCCATTCAAATGAATGGGCGAAGCGTTGAAAGCATTTTTTGACGCCTGTAGTGTAGATTTTGTCCGACTTGCTCTGGAGGCTCGCCTACATGAGACGTTGAAATCTCGCGGGACAAAGACGCCCGCAGCCTTGAGAGCGAGGCGCGGCGAGGCGGCGCAGTTGCTCTCCACGGGCTGCGGAAGCGAAATGCTTGATGGGAAACGACTCGCTGGTATCTCGAGCTGAGCGCTCATTGGTGGTTTTTACCACGTGCTGCTGATGAAACTCTCCAATTGGCTCAGCAAAAGTTTGTTGTTGTTTTGTGTCAGTTTTACGTCGCCACATCCATTCCCATTTTTCATCATTGTTCCACAATGTTTATCATCATGAAATTAATATCCATATATTTTATAGGCTACTATACTTGCACTGCTTACCGTTTCATACTTTATATATCTTAGCATATTCATACAAACTGTTCATACTGCTCACAGGCTGCTGTGTATATCTAGTGTATTCATACCCCTCACTGTTTATTCATCATTCAATTCATTCTATATTTTATTCTGTAGATTGTGTACATTACTTTTCACTTTACTGCTTGTTGCACCTGGTTAGAAGCATTTCGTTGTCTCAGTACCTGTAATATGTGCAATAACAATAAAGTTGAATCTAATCTTGAGCAGGAACAAATGTATTTACTTAGTACATATCTGACATTAACGATTAAACACATGTGTGCATTCTTTATAAATGCAAACCGAGTCAAGCCGACTCCGGAGGTGGCGGTATGCACCTTAAAGTTGTTTGCAATCCGCCAAATAACCGAGAGAAGAAGAAGAAGACGAAGCCGACTCCGAGCTGTCCGACTTCAGGCGGGCTGTTTGAGACCTCCCCCGGCTGCGATCGGCTATTCTCGTCTACTTTCGAGGCGAATCGCAACGCGTCTCAAACAAGCCTACTCTATTGCTGCGTTTAAGTGCTGATGAAAATGTTGAAAGTGATAAACGTTACAGTTGGCCAATCTAAACTGGGAAAACGTGATTATGTATTTCTTTATTTGTTGTTATAACAGACATAACACAGATTATGTACAGATAATAGAATCGATGCCCACAACGAAATGCCAGTTCGTCTGGATTCCTCTGTAAATCAGTGTGGGATTTGGATGTTTCTTTTCGACACATTGTTCTTTACAATAAAGAAATACGATGTACATGATGCGTACCGTCCTCTCAACACAACAATACCACAGCAGGTACGCTACGTGGCGCATGAAGAAATTAAATACTAATCAACTACACCTAACTTCCGAATTTACGTGACGCAAGTGAAGGTACCGTGCAAGGGAAAGGGTGGCCACGGTTATCCACAATGCTACAGCTGGTTTAGCAAGCTGCAGTGACTAGCTATCTTCAGATGTGAAGTAGGTTACATTTAAACCTTTACGGACTTAACATATAACAACCTTCGGTTTTAAGGAGTATAAGAGAGGTGGGATACAGTTTAATATGGCCTGAATCATCGTATACACCTTTTGTTATGCTAGCTAACAGCGTTAGCTCTAGCTAAGTTAGCCAACGTTACCTTTTTGTATGCATGCGCGTCTCATAAAATCAATCACCTGACCTCAATCTTTAAAGTCACTTCAGCAATACAATGGTTTAGACATTAACCATACTGCAGTCGGGGTTTCTCTGTTGTGACACTCTCTGTTGTGACACGCGGTCATGCTAAGCTCAGAAACATTTTAGCGAGGTCGCCCTGTCTGTTTGCAGATGTTGTTTTCACAAGGTGCATTCTGTGATTATAGCTCTTGTACCAAGCTTCTATATGTGTACCCTTTTGTATTGTTTTTAGCATTGTCTCCTATTCCCTTCTCAAATAAGTTACACGTTGCTGATGTGCAGTATTATAAACATCTAAGCTGCTGCATGTTAGATCATATAAATAGTATATATCTCAACGGGCGAGAATCCTTTAAAACACCAATGAGCCTTAAGTATGCCGTCATCGTTCATCTTTAACACCATACTGTAGATAAAACATGTAATACAGAAAATAAGGCTGGCTGAGAGAAAAGTTGGATTGTTCTGCTTCATGCTTTTCTGTGGTGTCCTTACTATCAGACACTCCACATGTCTGGTTGTCAGTTAGAAGCAGGCATATGGTAGAGTATACTCTTGATAACAAAGCTATGTATTATTGGTAAAACTCAAACTTTAACAGTCCCTTGCTGAAATAGTCTTAAACAATATAATTCACATACTTTCATCATATCAGCATGCATTATACACATCATGACACCAGCTCCTTGAATCTTGAACATAAATGTGTTTAACTGTCAGTTTTGATCTCTCAGGTGAAAAATACAATTGCAAATAGCTATTAAACACATACAATTGGATTTCACAGTAGCACATATCTGTAACCTAGTGGGCAACTTAAACCATTTCAATTCATAATCCATTAGAGCTTGCTAATAACATCTCATTGTGCATCATGTCACAATAAAACAACGCACAAATCTGAGAGATCCTTATCAAGATTGTTTGTTAGATTGTGTGTTTTTGTAAAAATGGCTATTGGCTAGTTTCAATATCCAAAATCTCGAATAATATCTCCACTTTACTGATGTCATTTTTGAATCCACTGTGTCTGTTTTTGTGTTCAAAGGCTGCAGTCATGGGTCCAGACACGGCATCTGTCTCTAAAACAGAATCTCCAGAGAAAAGTTAGTATTGAAGCTTCTTTGTATTGTATTATTTTTCTCATCATTCAAGTTTATAAGAGTGTTTCATTGCAGCGGACTGAATTTTAATTCAGTAAAGTTTTCAAAGATGTTTATAAAACGTGACTCGGTGAAATTTCTATTAAATTAAATTACTCTTAGAATACTGATATTCTTTGATATCATTTCTCCTCAGGTCCGGGACAAGTCGTTGTGGAGGTCACCACAGACTCAGATTCCAATGATTCTTCCTCCGCCTCTGAGCCCGAGGACTCTAACCATGCAGAGAAGTCTTACACTTGCTCCATCTGCAGCAAGGCGTTTGACAGACCATCAAAGCTAGAGAGGCATAAACCTGTACACATGAGGAAGCCTAAGACTGTCCATCAGTGTGAGCATTGTGAAAAGAGTTTCACACAAGAAGAGAAGCTTATCCGACACCAGAGTTGCCACAGTCGGACTAACAAGCACCCGTGTCCCGACTGTGGGAAAGTGTTCAACAGGCCTTCAAAGTTAGAGAGACACAAGCGCACACACTCAAAGAAACCAAAGGTGCCTCATCAGTGTTCTTACTGTATGAAGACGTTCAGTAAACTTAACAAACTTGTCCGTCACAAGCGAATGCACACCGGTGAGAGGCCTTACACCTGCTCGGTCTGCGGAAAAGGATTTGCTGAGTCTGGTCACTGCAAAGCACATGAAAAAACGCACGAGGAGCAGCCAGAAAAACCTCACTGCTGTGCAGACTGTGGGATGTGTTTCTTCAAGGCCTCAGAGCTCCGTCGACACTTCCGCTCACACACAGGAGAGAAACCTTTTAGATGCACCTTGTGTGAGAGCTGCTTCTCGCGCTCAGAAGGCCTCAAAAGACACATGAGGAGCCACACAGGAGAAAGACCATATAAATGCATTATCTGCGCGAAGGGATTTTATTCTCGTCAGGATTTAAATATTCACGGCTTGACCCACTCTGGAGAGAAACCTCATCTTTGCCCCGTGTGTGGTAAAGGCTTCTCGCAGCTGGGCAACATGAAAGAACATGAACAAAATGTTCATATTAAGTCAGAGAAATATATTTGCAATGAATGTGGGGCAACCTTT